ATAGTGCTGCCTCTCCCTGCCAGCAACCCGCTCCCCCTCTCCCTGCCCAATATAGTAGTAGCAGAAGATAGCCTATGATCTGTGTTCCTGAACCCCATCATCCCTGCTTGTGCAAGCTCACCGCATTTCCTAGAAGATGATTCTGATGCCCACATTTTCCATCAGGAAGCAGATGAAGTTCCTGTAGGTAGGCACCATCCAACAGAGAGGGGTGGATTAAAGCTAAAGGAATGGACTGCAGGATGTTGGCACATGAAACATGGATGCAGTCCGACTAGCAGTGCGTGCAGTGGTCCTTACTTTGCAGGGGTGGGTGAAGGAGATGGTGCCATGCTGGTGGTCTTGCCAGATTTCCCATGGGGTCACTGGCTCTTCTTCATCAAGGCGGTTGAAGAATGGAGGAAGAGACTGAAATCTCTTGTCATGCGCTCACTGTACCCACTTTCCTCTGGAGCTGAGGCTTTTCACCAGGAGCTGGCATGACCATCCCTTAATTTCTGGGAACACCCAAGCTCTCCTCAGTGCTGCTGCATGAGGCCACAGGTGGTGGCAGGAGGGAAATCCTGACAAAGGTGTTACTGAGATGCAGCCCCACTTGGAGGTTGAGGACCCCTAAGTGATGGCAAGTTCCAGTGTCACAATGGTATGGCCATCTGCAGTCTTGCTGCAAAAATGTTCATTTGGGAAGGCTGGATCTCCAAATTGCTGCAGCAGAAATCATGCACACCCCAAATGGCTCAGAACCAGATACAAGGTGCCTGTTGTTGCCTGTTTCTTAGGATTTTCTGTAATCAAAAAAATGACAACTATCCCAAAAGCCATTATTGTCCCAGAGCTCGATTAGTAGATGTTGGAGGAGGTGAAGCAGGAGGTACTGGTGCAGTTTTGCCACCTAGACTGCAGCTTGTTGGCTCAGTGCTGTGTTAACAGGGGTCAGATTTAAGGCTTTACTCTTACGACACACTCCAAAGTCACTGAAGGGTCCAGGTGCCAAGGCAAGCTCTCCTTTGGTGTGGCCAAGTCCCATGTACATGAGAAGGTCACCTCACATGATCTTTGCATATCACCAGAAAAGGCTCCAGGGACTGCTTGGGAAATGCATGGCTGTGGGGTCCAAATAAAGCACAGAATTCCTGCGAGAAACACAGAGCTTGTAATTACAAGCAGTGAAAGTGAAATATGGCCTTAATGAGAACTAACAGGCAAAGGAGAACGGCTTTGTCAGAATCACTGGTGGCTTTTGCTCTTAAAATGTGAAGATGTGTGACTCACCATGGGGATCTGGCCCTGGCCCTGTTTCTGTCTCTATCAGCTGCTAGAAGCGCTCCCTCCTCTGCAAGCAAGGCCAGCTAGGGAGGACTGCCACTTGTCACAGCTGTGACGGCGGTGCTGCCGTATCATGCCTACAGCGCGTCGCTTCTCTGCTTCCTCAGCCTGTAAACGGGGCCAGCCTTTGCTTGCTCTGAGCGCGTAGGTGCCCATGGAGCTGGATTTATCGATCTGGGCAGGATTTCACCAGGTTGCTGTGAAATGGAGAGAGACAACCCACAAAAGGCAAATTTAGGAACTGGAAACAGCTCTGTTCCCCAGCAGGCAGACGGACACAAAGGAAACTGAGCAGCCACTTCAGCCATGGCAGGAGGCTGGGTATTCCCGCAAGCCCACGACAAGGAGACCCTGGGGATGGAGTCCCTGCGTGCAAGAGCACTATGGCAGGCACAGGCGGACGCACAGCACGAAGCATCTGCATCGCGCCATGCTGTGCTCGGCCGGGTGCCAAGAGACGGTCTTCGCACAGACATCACCTGATGTGGCCCTGGCAGAAACCAGGGCCGAGGGTGCGCTCGCAGGCAGAGGCAGTGCCAAGTGCGGAGTGGAAGCGGGTCAGATCACAAGGTAACAGCTAAGGGAAAGCAGCAAAAGCTTTTGGGGGACGGTAGAATATCAGTTTCTTTTCCAAAAGAGATGGTGGCATCCCAAATAATTAAATCCTTCAGAAAAGGTTGGAAAACACTAGTTCAGGGAGAGATGATTGCATTCCCTCTGCCTGGAAAGAAATTTTCTCCTGTATATCCATGCAATGAGATTCTTGGTGCTTTCTTCCTCAGATGGCCTTGCTCACACTCTCCCACATGTACAGCCTGTGCCAATGGGCTCTCAGCACTCCTTGCCGCAGTAGGACAGAGCAATGAACATGGAAGAGAAAATTGCAGCCTGCAGCTGGACTTCTTAGGCAATATTTCTAGGCTCTCCTTGCCTGTAACGCTTCCTTCACGCTGGAAGCTGCCTGGCAAACCCTGGGGCGAGAGCACCCTCTGGCACCAGGAGAAATGTAAACAATGAGACTCTACGTTTCTCAAATCACTTCTTTTCACATTGCCTTTGCATTTTAAATGCATTTCATGATGGTGATGTGTGCTAGCTTGCTTGCCCAGAAAGAGGACCCTGCTGGAGAGGGCTAGCTTGCCACAGCGCATCTCTGTTACTACAGGACAAGCTGTCTGAGCCTCTCCAGAGAGAACAGAAGGGACCTTAGGACTCACAGCAGCCCTAGAGTTTGTAGAAAAAGCAAAAGTCACACTGTTTGGGGATAACAAGAGGACATGGTACAAAAGAGACTTTTCTGCATATAGCTAAGGAGACTCACCGTGAGGATGGGATACCCGATGGTATCCTCATTCCCGTTGTGGAAGGGGAACGTACTGATGGAAACACAGTGCAGGTGGATGCTGCTGCCTCTTTGCTGCCTTCCACCACATCAGCGGTGCACGGCGGGTGCACAGCCATCGGGTCCTGGAGGGGAGGGCATTAGCAGAGGGTCACTTTAATCACACGTCTCCAAGTCTATCTTAAGACAAGAGAGTTAGCCAAAAAAAGATTTGTAAATGCAACAAGAAATTCCCAAGTTTGACAGCTGAGAACATTTTATTTAAGTTATTATCTCCTACACTGAGTAGAGTCTTCGTTCTGAGCTGGCAGCTGCCTCCTCTTGCCTGTCATGCACCTCATGACTCACTGCAAAGGGGGCCTGAACGGGAGGTGGTAGGAGGCAGGGAGAGAAATACCACTGTAAAAGGCAGACGCGCAGACCCAGTAAAACCATAGTGTAAAAAAATCCCACACAAGCATGACAAGATAATAAAAGATTTGTTTTCACCAATTTTTATCTGCTAACCTATCTTTCTCCATTTATGAGGAAGGCAGCTCTCGTCTCACTGAGCCAAAGAGACTCTGAAATGCCGTTGTAGGCATTTTTAGCACATTAATACCACAGCTGGAAGCTGAAATGAATGGCATCTGCTGATGTGCTTCTTCCCTCAAAGAAGGGAACATATCGATCCTTTCAAGAAAAATGTAAAGCCATGATTTTTGTGGGAAACATTGTTTTGCATTGGTGGGTTGATGGTCAATGATGGAATCAGTGTGTCCATAGGCTTGACCCTGGCAGAGATGATAGATCCTGCTTGAAGACTTCTGCATTTTCTGAGCTGTAATGTTGAGTCCTGACATAAAGCAATGCAAATGTTGATGTGTTCACTTACCTGCTGACACCTCGTGCCAGAGCTCTTCTGAGCTCTTCCTGTGCTCCCTCACTTTGCTGAGACCTGAGTCCCTCCTTGACAAACAAGACCTCTCACGCACAGTCTTAAAATCCCTAAAGACATAAAATACCTCACATATATCATCTTTCCTGGGATGTGTTAGTTATACATGAACTGTGTTAAGCCTGCAGCCTTGTGTGCTTCAGCTCTTGGAAAGCCCAGGCGGTGTTTTGGGTGTGCTGTTAGAAAGTCCAGGCACAGGAACGCGGGGTCATGCAGATGTTTTTGAGCCCTTGCTCACCTTGGGCTTGAGGGCTTCCAGGTGACATCCTCCTGCCAGGGGAACATTAGGGCACCAATGGACTCATCCTGCTTCCCCTCTCTGCAGGCGGTGACTGTGGAAGTCACCCTGTGGTAAGCAACGGGAGGGCGGCAGTGCCTGCCTGCAAACCACGACACTGGCTGATACGGCAGCAAAATCCCCAGCCTGTGAGGAGCAGTCCTGCGGATGCCAGAGAGATGGCCTGCAGGAGACGGGAGGTCTTTCCACACAGAAATTTTACAGCACTTTGAAATCTCTTTTCAGTTTCAAAATAGCAAAGGCAGGATGGTGCCTTCCCTCCATGCTGTCATCTCTTGGAAGTCATCGTGGCCCTGGCTCAGGAGGTGGACTCCCCACAGTGCTTAGGGATGCAAGTTGCATGGGCAACAAAATAATAAAACTCACTGTTGCTGAGAAAAGTGAAAACGTTTTGACGTTTCCTATGCTTATACAAAACTACTGTGCGCAAAGGCAGAAGTCTGCATGCAGTATTTCAAGTTTTATCTATGCATTGCTTCTGCCCTGCGGTCCCCAATGTCTGTCCAACAGGAAAGCTGAGCTTTAGTGGTGGAAACCTTCTAACACTTTAACCTCTGTGAGCATTTCAAAGATTTGAAATAGACTTTTACAATTGAGATAGTTTTTTGAATACAGATTTATTTGAACATTTAACAACTATTAAGCCTGAAATGTAGAAGGTGCAGAGTGGGAATTTGACTGGGCACATTAATATCTTGAGCAAGATCTTCAGCAAGTGAAAATTAGTTTGCCTGAAGTTAAGGATTTATTAACTTACACAGCCATATAGATCCACTGGTGTTTGGCCGTTTCACATTTTATCTGAAGTACAATACATATCTGGAAACTCCAGATTTTGCAGGAGACTGTTCTGATTATTAACATAGTTAAAGTGATCTGACTCTGAACAAAAGGATAAAGACACAGTTGGAGAGTAGAGGGAATCTACAGGAGGGAGAAGTGAAAGATGCCTTATTTTCTTCAGTACCTAGGATATGACCAACCTCAGCAAAGACCCCTAGGACACTAGGTTTGGCCATGACATGTTTTGCCTTTTTCCATCTCTTTGCAGAGCCAGAATTAGCCTCAGGTTGGACAGAAAGGAAATGAAAATGCAACTAGCAGTAGGAAGCTGGTTTGATGAGGATGGCAGAAGCTTTGCAGTTCCCGTTGCACAGGCTGCCCCACGTCATGCCCCCCTTGATGTTCAGCCGTACAGAATAACACGCTGAGTACCACCACCCGCCCCCGTAGCTGGAGGCACAGTTCCCGCTGGAAGTGTCCTGATCCAGATCTTTAGCAGAGAACTTCATGTTGTCGTGGAGGGTGGAAGCACTGTTTGAGGTCATGGCATCCCCTGCTGTCCCCGAGTACGTTCCCAGCCGAAGCCGGTAGCCGTGGGACTCATCTTCCACACCGAAGAGGTTGTAGTCTGCAAAACTCATGTTGTTTGCAGCATTCCAGATGACAAACCTGACCTGGTAGACATTCTGCTTGGAGATCTGATGGATGTACTCGGTGCCCAGCCAGTACTCGGTGTGCACGTTCCCAAAGCCGTACTTGTAGGTGCTCCAGGACTCAGCCCAGGTGATCTCCGTGCTCTGCTGGTTCCTCTGGATGACCGTCCAGCCCCCATCCGTGACATTCATTTCGCAGTACACCACGATGGGGTGCAGTCCTGTGGGATAGATGACGTAGACGCCGCTGGGGCTGCCAGCAGAGACCTCGCTGCAGTCCTTGGGCCAACCTAGGGCAGGAGAGAACATGGAGGACCAACAGGCACAGCAACACCCCAGTCTGCTTGTCTGGCCCTGTGAGAGGGATTTCTAGAAAATGGGCATATGTAGGATTTTGCCAGGGTAGTAAAAAGTCTATTGCTGTGTTTCTTACTGTAAGTGTAAAAGCAGAAAACTTCTGTAAGGGAAATACAGTGATTAAGAGAATATGTATATATTTTGAAGGTATAAACACAGCATTTGCTTCTCCTTCTGGCTCAGGCTCTTGCTTCCTCAGCCTTTCCCAACGTTCAGATGTTTCTCTTCCCTCATAACGATACACGGGTCCAAGCTTGGCTTGGTGAGGGCTCTTATTACATAGTTGTGCAGAAGCTTAAATGAGCAAGTGAGCTGTTCCTGCAGCCCTGTTCCTGGCATCCACTGCATCCCTGGGGTTGGGAAGGAGGAAACCTTGTTCCCTTGGCATTGGGCCCCTTGGCCAGCTGTGAAACCCCAGCAAGCATTGCTTGGGAGGCCCATCCTATGCGTGCCCATTGCAGAGCTTCACAGCAGAGGAGAGGACTTGTGGCATATAAGGAATGGTTGCAAAGTCCTTTGGGATCTTGTAAGGTTCAGTGTGAAGCTATTGCTAGTAACGAGTGACGTCTGCGTGGCCTTGGCACGTCGAGTCTCGCCCCCAGGCGCTGAGCTGGGTTATCCCCAGGCTCATTGCCCACCCACCGCTGTTCGACCCTCGTTGCCTACACCTCTCCAAGTTCCCTGCGGGGTGGCGGGGGCACTTACTGCGGTGCTCTGTCTGCCGAGGGTCACTGGCTCTGCTCTGCTGCATGTTCGCTCTGCCTTTACCTGCATCGGGAAAAACAGAAAGAGTGAGATGAGCCGCCCTGTGCCACAGCACAGAGGTAACTCCAGCCTCCACAGGCTGAGTTTTTTGTAGGCACTTCAGCAATTCCACTGAGCTCATTTTTCTTCCTGTATGGTGGTTTTTGATTGTAAACTCTTTAAAGGGATAAGATACTAGGAAGGGTAACACTGGAGTCATTGAGCAGCTGCCTATTCGGTCCACTCAGCGTTATGGCTTTACAGAGTTGCATGGAGCGGACTGCGTACCCAAGTGATGAGTACCAGGAGATACTGCTAGGGAAGAAGGATCAAAAAGGAAACAGACTGTGTGTGATTTCAGAACAAGATTAAACTGTTGAGTGGTGTTGCTGTAAACCCACATTGCCTTTTCAGTGGTGGCTGAAGGGATTCATGTGTTCATTCAATTCATAAAGAGCTTCAGAAACCTTTAGAGAGAAACGGAGCTCAAAGCATACAAGATAGCAATGCTCTCTTTAAAGAGAAATCACAGCACCCATCTTCCTAAGATAGCATTCCCCGAAAGCCTCCAGTGGTGTTACCTTTATCACTGGTGTGACGAGTTTTTTATATCATTTAGCCATGTGCAAGCTTCAGAAAGCATTTTGATTGGTCACATTCAAAATTTCTCTGAAGTTTCAGGGCTACAGATGGACTATAGATAGCAAGAGAAAAGGTCTTCCTTTGAATATCTACAGCTCTCTAGAAAAAGCTGCCACATATGGTCTTGTCAATAACAAGGTTGAACTACCAAATCTTAGGACGTTTGGTTAAGATCTGAAATTGGAGGAAGATTTGATCAAGTTCTTTTTATTTCTGAGTGTGACTGCCCTTTTCCAAGATTATTTTCCACATCTCCCTCTCTGTGCAGAGAGGAGAGGGCTCCTGATGTTTGGATGAACAGAGTTTAGGGATGTAAAAGAGAAAACACATACCATGATGGGGCTCATCTGAATGGAGATTAATGATTTCATCTAAATTTGCTTTCAGTCTTTCCAGGTTTTCAATGTCCAGAGCAAGAAGAGGGGCTAGCAGGGCCAGCACGGAGGCGAGGAACAGAATGGACTGATGAGCAGCTGGAAAAAGAAGACACTCAGTGAATCTGGAAATGCAAACCCTCTGAAAGAGAATTGGCTAACTAAATTCAGCAGAAGTTAAAACAAACTTACAGAGTAGACAAATCCACAACATTGATTATGCTTTTGCTTTATTGAACAGCAGAAATATAAAGAACAATTTCCAAAAGTAAGCATTCTGCAAAGGCATATGTCCCCAGAGAGAAACAATTTCTTTGACTACAACCTACAGGTCTAAATTTGCAGCTTCCAAGAGAGGTGTCATCCCCTTTGGCTGTGGTCTGAGTAAAGCAATGGGCTCTGGGCCCCAGAACCGAGATGTTAAGCCAGCATCAGTGTGCGTCTTGAGAAAAATATCTCCTGGTAATGCAGGATGGCATGCTGATTTGTAGGTACTGCTGTTAGCTGAAGATAGTCAGGAGCTACTACAGCAGTGATAAACAAGGCGCAGGGACCTGAGATCTTGGAAAGAAAGGAGCTGTTGTGGCCACAACGCTGATGGTATCCTGAGAGTCAGGAGCTTCACTTAATTGTCCCAGAACTGCCCCCTCCCACCAGGGCATTGTGCAGAGACTGGACGAGAATGCCACGAAGAGAGCATCCTGCAGGGAGCCAGCAGCATTGATCCAGCATCAGACCCCTGCTACGTGTCACGAATGGGCCTGCTGCAGGGACACGCCGAGCGTCCGTGCATCCCAGCTGACATCTGGGCCAGGACATTCTACGCTTTAAAGGATGGTTTCTGCCAGCGTCTGAAAACCTGAGCAATTTGACTCCTTTGGACCATACCAGATCAGGACGTTCCCCAGCAGTTTGTTCATGGCCAGCTCCATAGATTTGTGTCTACCCAGCTTCAGTACCCTGAAGGACTTATGAGGATGATGGGTGATTAATGCATTAATTAGCTTCCATTCCAATTTTTTTTTTTTTGGGTGCTTTTGGCTCTGGCACAAATATAAGTTAAATAAATGTTGCCTTTACAATACCACCCAAAGCAGAATGGTTTTGCCTGTGGTCAGGAACAGAGGAGAGAGAGTGAGGAGCAGGACGGTCACAGAGTCCTGGGG